GCCCTTACATGTGGGCTTTCACTGGTAGAGTTCAACTGGGGACGGTTTCAGCTCCTCCCAGGGGAGGGTTTCGTCCGTCAAACACTCATAGGCGCACAAACACATGGCCTCTTCATCGGGGTCGGATTGGTTAACTCGTGCACCGAAAATTAGTCGTCCTTACTAGTCCCCTTTGCACACGCACAATCGTGCGCACGCACATTGGCACACAACGCCTCGGTAAGCCACACATTAGTATCTGCAATCCGCTGGGTCGATACAACTGCCCTCCGAAAACAGTAACGATCCACAAACAACAGCACACATCCCGCGCGTTGTCATTGGTTGAGTGCTGCTGTCCAGCCGGCGATCTGCTACGGTTTGTCCACAGAAGCAGAACGCATAGGCAAAACCATCGAGCTATTCGACCGTCGTGACACGGGCCGACCCGCTGGGTACTGTCAGTCCGGATTCACAGTCGTACAGACACAGAAGGCAAAATTCACAAAGCGTGACGCGCTTATGTGCGCGTGTTTACTATAAGGAAGCGAACTGTAACGTGCTTTAACTTCTCTCTCTCGCTCATTCGTTCGCTCATTCACACTCATTCGACTGCCCACTTTTTTCGCCTGTGTACGTCTATTTCGCCGACTATTACCGGACTATTGTGTTATCAACTTTGTTGAACTTTGTCTCTCTGTCACCTCCATCGGCTCTTAAAGCCAGCGAAGCGTCGTGGCTAACAGCCGAGAGAGGACTGTGATAGAACATATTTCCGGTGAGTTGATGGTTTTGTGCTCTGTGGATTTGCGGTGGAATCAATGGTCAAAATACTCAATCATGCACACGTGTCTCAATACCTGAGTTCCTTTTTGGTTGGGTTGATACAGATTAAAAATATCTGACAACTGTGCCTATCACTTCAGTCGAACAAGTAAACGAGGTTCGATACTGATGCAATGCATAAACATTCCATTGACCTATTCAACAATGAGTTGGAACATCCAACGATGTGTAAATCCTTCTGGAACACTTAAGCATCTAATAAAAACAGTTGTGAAGGATGTCTATAACTCAGTAGGGATTTAAGTGTTCAAACTGTTGTTTCTTTTGCATTCATAAAAATAGCCTAAACATCTTGTTTTGAAAGGGGCTTATCCAAAAGTTCGTCAATCGTGCCTGTTTGAAACTGAAGAACACTATCTATAAATCGATCTAAACTATGAAAAATAAGCTGGATCAATCGCACAGAAGTTTTGACTTTGATCAAACGCAGCAGTGCTTAACTGACAAGTCATTCTAGCGCATGTTTTTCAGCATTGACCCTCTGGATTATTATTGATTTTTAGTTCAGGTTTAAAGTTAATTCATTACAGAGCACCCCTGATACCCCATACAGTTCGCAAAAATCTTTCATTTTCAAAATTAGGAATTGCATGATGCGATAAGAGATCTACAGCACAAATGATGACTCATTCAAAATATTGGGGGGGGGGAAGGAGAGGAAAGTCAACGATAACCACATTTTCGAAGTTGTTCTATCGTAGAAGGACTTTCGAACATATCCCAAATTTAGAATCGCATTGAACATTCTTTAACTACATTATTGATTAGGGAATGGATCACGAAAATCGAATTTCAGCTGTTACCAGGAAGCACAATGCACTTGTGATTCGGATGCCAATATGTGGCATATCTAAATAACAATGCGGTGAGAGGCTCCGTAATGAATTCAAAACGAGAATATAGTTTCACGCCTCACGGATTTTCAATGAGTCTCACTCTTTCTCTCTCTCTCACTGTGGGACGTTTCAACCAGTTACCTGTGAGAACACTCCCGTCGAATGCAAACAACCTTGGGCATTAGCGTACACATTTGGTCGTTTGCTTATTTACAATAGAAAAGATGAACTGACATTTTAGCACCCTCTGTCAATTCGCAGTTAGTGGATCGATTAAATAAATTGGCATAACGGTTCTACTTAGTGTTCAATAGGTCTTGATGTTTAGTTCGTGGATTGCATAGAATCATCATCAGCATGTGCTCTTCCTTCCTGTTCATACAATCACCTCAGTATACATTCCAATTACCTGTGACTTTTGCTTTCCCATTTCGTGTCATTTCCATAGCCAACACACAAAAACAGAGCCATGTATGAGCCATCGTACACAGACTATCCGGATGCTGATGCCGGTTATGTGGATGAGGATGAGGAAGAGATCCCGATGGCCGAGCGTGAGCTCGCCGAGGATGCTGAATGGAAGCTGATTCAGAAAAACACATTCACCAGATGGGCTAATGAACACTTGAAACCGAAGAACATGATCGTTGACGATTTGCAATATGACTTCGCTGATGGTCTTAAATTGATCGGACTTGTTGAGGCTTTATCCGGACAACAGTTCAAACACGTGAATAGAAAACCCAGTTTTCGAACACAGAAGCTCGAGAATGTGACCATGGTATTACGATTCCTGGAGGAGAATGAAGGACTGCGTTTGGTGAACATTGGTAGGTGGACGAATATATGCCTGATCACGCTTCATCTAGATAAGGGTTACTGACAATTTGGTAGATGTTATGTCTATCTTTGTGACCCGAGGTAAACCAGTGGGACCACTCACAAGGTTCATAAAAATTGATTTCAGATCGGACTACGTACCATTCATGTCATAATTATTTGACGTTGTAAACAAAAGTGTTCAGAAAACTGTTCCTTTAACTTCACTCAACGACCCAGTCTCTTCGCATTAAAGTGACAGGGTGATAAGATTCAACTTGTATGCAAGTCCCTTCCCAACCTTGAAAGAATGTGGATGCACTATGATGAGGCTTTATTAGTGTGTATTCACCGAGTCTGTACACTTCTGAAACCTGAATTCCACCACAATCAGATTAAGGTTCCTATTAACAATGTTAAACCAGAATGCCATAGCTTAATATTACTTTAATGAGTTTCATTGATATGAGATTCTCCAATATTTCCCATCTGAATAGTTCTCACTTACTTCTGGATACTAAGCATTATTGTACCTCCAAAGATTGATAATGGGCCACCAGATCTTTTTGAGTGTTTTTACTAAATCGTGAGGACATTCTAACACAGTGTGATCTTATTTTGATCTTTTCTATTGATTCATGCAGCTTTTTGTTGTCGGTCCCTAATATATCGTTTATATGTGTACATAAAGCCTTATTTATTTAACGTTTTAATCGTACAGCACAATGCAATTTTCGAATGATGATACGATCAATGATTTCTAGAAGTGAACAGAATTTCTTCATTAGATTAAGCGAAACACATAGTTTCACGAGCGTTTCATAATTTTTGACACTTTTCCGGATGACATGATTGAGCGAGTGCCTGAATAGTCCTAATTTAGACTACCACGACCATGTTTTCTTATAATTTGTCCGACGAACTATTTGCACTAAGACCGATATGTACTCCATTCACTCGCTTTTCCAGACAGCACCGATATTGTGGACTGCCGCAGCAAATTGATCCTGGGTCTAATCTGGACCTTAATTTTGCATTATTCCATCACTATTCCTTTGTGGGAAGGTGAAGTGGACCACGGGGTAAGTGGTGTAGAATTCGAACAGTGAAAGTTGGTGATTGGTACATGCAACATTCCAATGTTCAAATACATGTTTAGGGGTATCTTTGAAAATTTGAAAATTTATAATGTTTTCTACTTTTTAGTCGATCTTTGTTTCATTACTATCGAAATGCGGATTATCGAATTAACTGTGGTTTTTAAAACTGTTTCAAATAACATGCACAACTTGAGGAACTGCTAGTTTATATTTATACCAATATTTTCAAGGTATCTGATTGCAGAATTTCAAATTTTTTTTATTCAAGAAATTAAGTCAAATTCGTCTTGTGATTACGTAAAGTGTTGCATTGTGTTTAAACAAACAATTAGTTCACGCTTAACGTTCACAATAAAAGTTATTTTTTCCGGAAGTTATTATCGCAACCAGCCATACAGGTAACTCAATATAAGGATTTCTCAGCACTAACACTGCAAAACATCAAAGAACAGATTTGTCCGTCCTGTCTACCTTCTTACATTGTAACTCTTACATTCCTCCGAAATTCACTGTAAGTTATCCCATTAGATCCCTTCAGGGAATACTGTTAATACCTCATGAATAAACTTCATTTTCTGGGTCTTAAATTTTATTCGCAAAGCTATATCATTGGGACCAGTGGAAATCAATCCACGTATAACTTTGACCTATTCCTTGATATAACTCATCGAGAGGAAGTTAACCAACATACATCTCGGAGTCTGTGGGTTTACACATAGCGGCATTCAACTTGACTTTGCATATTGTGGTAATCTGAAGGTTCTTTAGCCGCTTCCACTATCTATGATGATATTTGTGACTATTGATCTGCACCTAGGTAAAAAAGAAAGTTTACCGTTTATCCGCCACACCTCCAACGCGACGTCGATTGAATCAACGAGCTGTTTTTGAAGATCCCAAAATGCAGGACTCTGAGAACGCGGTCAAAGAACCGACATCCAAGGCATCCACATTGAGCAATAAAAGCGAGACTCCGGATGTCACTGATGTGGTTAGATTCTGTGTGCTCAGTATTTGGTGGTTCCTGGTATAATTTGCTTGAGATGATCACCACTACCCTGACTGACTGCACTTTGATGATGCAATCAAGCACCGTGCACTTATTTGATCCGATTGCAGCACAAATACTTGATTGAGATAACCCTTGACCTCCTTCAGTTCGGCTAATCGCTAAAACCGATAATTTTTCCGCTCACCGATTATCTAGCAAGGTCAAGGTCCAACACCGAAGCAACGGCTTCTTTCGTGGCTGAACAACAAATTGGTCGATCGACCTGTGAAGAACTTCACTAGTGATTGGAACGATGGAACGGCTATTGGTGCTTTGGTCGATGCTTGCGCTCCTGGTCTCTGCCCAGATTGGCGACAATGGGAACCAAAACAGAATTTGCGCAATGCACGAGAGGCGATGAACGCTGCCGAACAGTGGCTCGATGTGCCCCAACTGATTCGTCCGGAGGAAATGATCAATCCCCGAGTAGACGAGAAAGCTATGATGACGTACCTAAGCCAATTCCCCAGTGCTAAACTCAAGGAGGGTGCCCCATTACGACCGAAATCCACCCCGGAATTAGTTCGGGCATATGGTCCTGGTAAGAACCATCACTGAATGTTAGAAATTTACTTTTACCAATAATTCAGCTATATTATGGGCTATTGCTGTGTTTAAAGTCTACCACTAATCAGAATAATAAAAAAATTGAAAGAAAAAAGATAGAAATTCAATGTTTGATTAGGCAGCTAGTCGCATACTTACTGTAGAGCAGGAGGATTACGCAATGAATTCTATCACAAACCTGTGAGAAAACTTTCCACATAAGTTTATATGGTATTCACTGGTTTCAGTAAAAACCATTTTCCCGCAGGAGGCGTGTGAAAAACCGAAAATGGTACTACCCTAACAGCATAACCTACACATAAAACAGTTGAAGTAAGAACATCTATGTACGGTAAGCAGAAAATTCTTTGGTAAAATCGCTGAAATCCACGTAAAACTACAGATTTCTATCAATCTAGGATGACGAAGGAACAAATCAGTTAGTAGTAATAATCGGAGTCGCGAAACTATATTTTTCTGCTGCACGAGTGATAATGCGTCGACCACGAGCATCTCATCATAGTCAAAGGCTTGTCAAGGAATTACCGAAGATCTGAAATCCCGTTCCATGTTGTTTATAATTTTGGCAGAATATTAGGCCGGACAAAGCAGCTTGGTTTTGCAAAACATAACCCCAGAGTGTAAAAGTAAGCAAAGAAAAAAAATTTTTCCTAATTCAAGATTAGCATAAGTCCTTTGTTTGGTAAAATTCCCTGCTTAAATAACAGAATAAACTTCATCCCAGCAATTAACATGTTGTATACGCGATCCATGGATGACCGAAAACCCAGCAACAGATTGAACTAGGCATCTTAGCCTTCATTGGAAGATATTTGTTTCAAAAATCTGGACAGTCAAATTTTTTTAAGAGCGTACATTGAAAACATTTATGGCTGAAAGTGCAATTCACGTTTCATTTTTGCAATATACAAAATTTTGCTTATCATATGGCTGACATTTTACTTATGGCAACTGTAGTTATATGTAAAAACTTCGCTGCTCTCATTGTCCTCATTGTACAAAATGTCTATCATTGTATAATGATCCGAAACGTTACTTGCAACAATCCGTGCTTACATTTTTAATGCGTGTGTTTTAATCGCAAAATAAAACTTTCCAGGCAAACAGATAGATAAAAACTAAATCGTTCGCATGTTCACTGCATACTTGGTACAGTTGTGACATTTTCAAACTCAGCACTCCATAATACTACAACACCAGGCGTGTACGTCTAGTAGTCAAACGGAGGCAAACCTCTTAGATAAATTAGCCAGTTAAAACTCTGTTACTCTATGTTTCCCTATGTCCAGTGCGTTAGCAACGGCAATCCAACCTGATGCGAGAGCAGATGACCAGTTTTGAGCCTATCAGCATCTAGCTGCAATCTCTCAGCGTTAGTAACCATTGGTTCACATACATCCTACCAATCACGATACAATATTGCCGCCCAACCAGTTGCCCGCTATCGGTTGAGTACACTGATTCAAATGGTCAGACATATCATTCACATGTGACTCTGTTGCCTGCGTGATTTAGTTCCGTTTAAGCAGCCTTCAAAGGAGTAATGCACTTTCTGCACCAAGTTAAATCCCCACACCAGTCCTACTCACGTGGGAACTGACTCGGAGACTGACGAGCTGTTTGCTACCGATTGATCACTAGCCGAGGTTGTCAATGACCACGAGTGGATTTCAATACCTCATTGAAGTTGACGTGAACCATACCCTATTAGCTGCAGCGTTTTTGTCACAAGCTGATGCTGAACCGCAACAGCAATCGAATCCGCCCGCACAGAAGTCCACGCAACCCCGAGGGTTGGATGTGCGACACGGCCTTGGTGTACTGTATGCACTGAATCGTCAACGGTTATCCTGTTACTTGTTCTTTTTCGGCCCTAAAATGCAAAAAGCCAAAACTCCTAGTAAACCCGCACCGACTGCAGCAGGATCCGCAGCACAGAGTAAAAATGTTTCGCCGGCTACAGGCAAAGGGAACGCACCTGGAACAAATAAAACACCAGCAAAAGGTAAGAGTGTCGGTATTTGAATAACTTGTCGGGTTCAGATTTGGGGTCTGTTTTGAACGAATAATTGATGCAAAATAATGTTCAATGCTCGTGAGTTCCACGTGATCAGTAACAATCCTCTGTTAACGAAGAATAAGACATCCATGATTTATCTATAAATTTCGACCTGAATATGTGTGAGGATACAATGTTGCAGAGCTTTCTGGATATGTAAGAGCAATTCATTACCGTTGTATTGTTTTTGACATCAAAGTTTTACTCAACGGCACTCTGCGTTCGATTAACCGTTAAAACCTGATTGGAACTGTCCAGTAATACCCCAGTCGATGTAAAACAATAAATGCGGTGCTTTAAATACTTTTCAAACAATATTTTCTCGTGCCTCATTGTTCACATTATCTCCAACTTCTCCATGTACTCATTACACAGGCCTGGAACGACACGGTAATACGGTCGGCAATCCGGCTCGGTTCACGATTGACACATTCAGCGCTGGTCGAGGAGGTGTCGAGGTGATTGTGCTGAACCCCAAAGGACAAAGGGAACCGGTGAGTCAGGTTTTTGAGACCTTGATGTAAAACCTAGCGAAACCCTTATGCTTACCAATGTGAAACCGAGACATATATAGGGATGTATATTGGGGAAGTTAAATACAGTGCCTACATTATTGTCTATGTGTTACATCGGTTCCATAGAGAATTTGCGGGCATCTTCATTTGTTTTCATTTACTTTACTTGTTCTTCCCTCTTGTCGCCAATGAGCGGTCAGTAATCAAAGATGGTCAACTGTACTTAGACGATAAGGTAAAAATACTAGTGAAGAAAACTGTTTTCGTAAATCTCGTAATCTAAAAATATCTCTATCAAGATCTTAGTCGTGATGAACAATTATTGCCACACAAGTCTTTACCAAAATCTGAAAGGGCACATAAAAGTGCTGTGCAAGCTCGCCTGTATTCTCTGAAAATGTGAAATGATAAACCGTTATTCGGCGGCTGGGTGTGCAAAAGGTGTCAGCCCTAAACTGAAACCCGTGTTTTGCATTTCCAGAATGTCTCTGTAATGTCCTTGAGATAACGAACCAGCTTGAAGTTGGTGTTACTATTCACAGATGAATATCGAATTCATTACTACATTTTTATTCAGACAGTTTACGATCTAGACTTGGCTAATTTCGTACTGTCCATCGTGCGCAAACACCTGGTCCTGGTGGGACAGAACATGAGCCGCACGCTTGGCATCACGCGGTAGTTGGAACAGAAGGATGGGGGTGTCAAGTGCACTTTGTTAGGATGCACCGATGAACAGGTGGTGGTTTTCGGATCATGTGGTCTAGTGGTTTACTTTATTTTACTGTCAAGACATCAATTGTATTTTCTTATTCTATGAAACATAATAAACTAGTCAGCACTGGCCGGTTGTCTACCTGAGTCCTACTATTGTCATTGTATTGGAAATTATAATATATTTTAAGATCTATCTCGGACTAATATAGTTTATTTGTTTCGATGCAGAGATTACAGCAACAGAACTGTTTCTTATATTAGCTCAGATAACTCGTATTTTCTGACCATAATAGATCTATGAATCATGCTTGAAATCGGGTGGCCCAACAAAGATAACCATCAACACAAGTTTGTTTGCTCAATGATCGCTGCAGCATAATGTCGCTCACCTTTATACTATTGCTATTATCATGGTTCGAAGACAAATTTACCATAATCTATCGGATATTACATTTTTTATAATTATAATTGTTTATGCACATGGCTGCATTTTTCCGAGAAAGAAATTGCTGTGTGACTCTAGCGTGGCAGTTTTCCAATCAAACTGAAGTCAATAATCGCGCTACTTATGAATGTAAACGTTTAAACGTTAATGCAACGAATCAGGACGGCACGTTCAGAACCGTCAAATCTAGCTAAGGCTTAATATTCATCGCCTTACAGACGATGTCCGTCCCCTGACTGCCGATAGAGAAAATGAAGTATGCAGCAGATGCGAACAAGTTTCCTCCCTTTAGGACGTGTGTTCCAATCCCACCATCAGCTGATTTTACCCATTCTTTGTGCGTTGTATAGCAGCCGTTTGATTGACCCCTTCCACCTTCCTCAAAATAATGCATCATTATGTATTCGAAGGAAGTGAAGCTAAAGGATAACAAAAATATGCCGCGATCTCCTCCAAACGTGTAAAGCAGTCACTGACCTCTTGTAACAATAGGATAACCTGTGGATTCAAAATTTCACCCACTGCGCGATGTGTGCGCATTCAGACGATAAAATTGGCTTCATTGAACGTGACAGTCAGCCAGAATTTCTGCTAGAAGTCTTTTCCATACACTACATACGTCTATGTTCTCGAAACTTTGAAATTTACTGAGGACATGGAAACGACTATCTCTGTCTAAATAGAGAGCTCATGGAACAATGGTCAATCGTCATTCCGTAACGTATGTACTATGTAAACAGTAGTTTTCTCTCTGCGCCAACAATCAGTCACCATTGTCAAAATTTTCAAGGAACAAATGGTAAAGACCACAATCAACCAATCATATTCATCACATTTGATCATTACACTAATTTGACAATTTTGAACCCGTATAGATAACTGTATTAGCCCGAGGAGGAGGTTATCGAAACAAGCTTTGTTCGCTACAGCGTTTTTCTAATGTCATGATGGGAGTATTCAATGCAAAAAAAACCATTCATTCAAAATGGCTATTTCAGTAACCACATTCACACAAGCATATTTTATGATTACAAAACAATAATGTCTAGTTGTTTGTTGAATCAATCATGAAAAGGTATTAATAACCGTTATTTCAAGGAGATGCATTCCAGACATCCAATAACACAAGGATTAATCCCGAAACAGTCTTTCTGGATGCTGAACGAAGATATCTGTTTTGGAAAAGGGTTTCAAATGAGACTTTTTATAATAATTTTCTGAAATCTATTGTCCTTTTACATATTCATTGTCGAGAGTCTTTTACAGATGAACCCCTTTCAGTCTGTTCCACCACCATACCTCCCATTTGTTCGGGTTATCCAACGAGTATCATCTTCGGTTCAACAAATCAGTATTTTAAATCACCACAGTTATGATGTCATTTGTTTTATCCAATGGGAAACATTGAATGTAAACAATCGTTGATCGAATTTGATCGCGTTTTGTATTCTCATTATTCATGTTAAGTAGATGCATTCGCGGGTACGGGTCTCGCTTTCCATAGCTCACTCAATTTTCTCCGATACGATTTACTTCGTCCGATTACAGTGTGATATATTAAGCAACAATGACCGCCAACAGACCTATTCATGCGCTTACGTGCCAACGCAAGAGGGCGAATATCGTGTGATCATCAAATTTGCCACCAAAGAAATCCTCAATTCACCATTCAAAGTTATGGTTGAGGGAGCCGTCGGAGATGCAAGCAAAGCGTCCGCTTCCGGACCTGGCATCGAACCGCAAGGAAACCAGGCAGGACGAAGAACATTCTTTAATATATTCACCGCTGGTAAGCCACTCCGTTTCACTTTCGTGCGCCGGTTTTGGTTGCTGTCTTTTGGCTACTCATTTGGATGGAGGAGCAAAATGAAGATTGGTTATGTTGAGAGGAGACAAGAAAGAAACATAAAGATGTCTGGATAGAGTTTTATCTACGGTACAGTTTGCTAGTATCAAAGGTCATTCACATCAATCATAATGGTTAATTTCCTTGAACAGAAAAGAAAAGCGCCGTTTTATTTTCATGATAAAAGGGTTATTGTGGTTGATTTTTGGATGTATATCCCGTAAGAGCGTTCAAATCAACTAGTCCTGAGCCTATAGGAATTATTTTCCTAATTTCGGGTATAATAACGCTTTAGTATAAAATATAACTGGGGGGATCTATGTGGTGCTAAGAATTTGTAGTACCAATATTGATGTAAGTAACAACCCACAATGAGCCAAAATAGAACTCATAAAATTCATTCACGGTTTATTGTAGCAATGTCTCCGGCAGACAGTAAGTAAAAATCATTCTATAGTTATTTGTGTGAACAATAACTGTTGTTCTCTGTCCTGTCGGGTCCGTTTCTCTCCCGCCTTATCATCATGATCACATCACTATCATCAACCGAGTTATTAGCATCATCATGTTCATAACCACTGACATGACTACGATGTATTTCTAATTCTGTTCACTTGGTATTATTGGTGTTGTAAGTTTTCTGACTAACGAAAAATGTCATCTGCCGTGCAACACATCATCCAACCGAACAACGAAACGTAAATATCAGCACCTTATTCGTGAAATTTCAAAAGTTGAAATATCATTCATTGTTTATCCGTCAGCATGACGCGGAGTCCATCAGCCACAGCTATTTCAAAATCAATGGGTGTCATTAAACAACGCATTGAAATCCGTATTCGATACAGGGTCCATCAGAACTAATCCAGGTGTGATGAGCCCTCCATGACTGGGATGTAACAGAATTGAACGATCCCCGATGGACTGTGCTTCAACCTGTGCTGTGCTCACATTCCTCTTCCGTTTCGCAATCGGAGGTCAATACAAAAAGAAACAATTGAAAGAAAGAGCTACTCACTATGCATTCGTACAATACTGAGCATTTGACAAAGCATCCTTTTCCGGTATTCTTTTTATTAGGAAATGGTTGATTTTGTTCATTTTCTTTTTCAAATTTATTTTCCTGTTTAGTGCACTATTACATACACTTCATCTATATTTACTGTCTACTCATATTTTTCAAGCATTGAATGCACAATTTTAGCACGTAGTATAACGTAGCGCTGATAGCTAGAGCTGTATGCACCTTTGCACAAATAAATTTGTTAAAATAGAACGGACTAACCCGCAAAGAACTTACATGTTTTTGTTTGAGTAGTTTAACGTTTAAACTGCAGCCCTTTCAAACTTACTACTCATGGAGAGCGGTTTTATTCGGGAATGTCATCTGGGTCAAAACACGAATACTAATCTTGGAAAAGTTTCAGAAATGACTAGCTATTGAGGAATAGTGACTGAGGCGAATTCGATACGTTTGTATAAAACGAATACCGTTGGGACTCCTCTACTGCTCGATACCGCATTCTTGTTTTGTTTTTCTGACTTACTCAGCTGCCGGTCCCGGTAACGTGGATTGTGTCATTTTGGATCCACATGGAGGTCGGGATTCGATCAANNNTTCGATCAAACCAGTGATTACAAAACAGGGAGAGGATAACTACTTGGTCGAGTACACACCGAAGGACGAAGGATTGCACTCCGTCAATGTGTTCTTCGCTGGGCAACAAATTCCGAAATCCCCATTCGGTGTTATGGTGGGGCCAAGTAAGTTCAACACTGATTGTAAAGAAACGATCAGGATCAGAAACGGGACTTAATCAATCAGCCGTATCAGCATTCTCACAAATCACGAACTTAATACAGCACTGAACTACTCGGTGAAATCGGTTCATCCAACTCTAAGCATTCAGCCTGTACCACTTTTCAATGAATCTTAAAAATAATTTGCTTTATTTGTTAAGCTGGATCCACGTGAATTTAATACATCGTTTGCGATTATCCACCGAATTAAATGCAGCTGCACGATGAACTGTAGAATGGACGCGATTCGAAATTATCGATGCTCTGGAAGACTGTACACCATGTGTTTTCAGAAATAATCACTTGATCAGGAACCGTAATAAATGCTGATTATTTTACAACCTGATTGTTTAATGACTTAAATGAGCACAGAAATAACTAGGAGCGTGTTGGTTTGCCACTACGGACTAGATTTGAAACGGATTCGACAGTTGTGCTTGCTCACTCTATCCAAAATCATTCAATCATGTTATAGGAGCACCAAGACGACCTCTAGTTTCAACACAACAGCTACCGATATCAGGTATGTTAAGTGCCTATCAATTAAAAATGTGTGCAGCCCCAACAGTCTGGCACTTCGCGTTTGACGAACCTCAATATAATGAAACATTCGCAAAGTTAAAACTAGCCTGTTGCATATGGAATGGCGCACACTGCTTGGTTCATTGTATGGTCGACTCCTATACGAAAACTATCGTTGCGTCTGTTCTTTTTCACTGCTTTGCTGAACACTGGTCACGAACAATGGCTTTTGTATAGACTATCGACTATCCTGGATGATGTAATTGCTGCCATTAATCAATGAGTGTTGATATCCCCATGTCACATCAGTCCAGTGTTTTAGTTATTTCGGTGACAACTTTGAACACGCTCTCTGCCCTCCTGGTATATATCGCTAGAACAGCCACTTCATCTGGTTACCCATTTGCTGTGAAACGAGTCTGCTCTTTTTGGGTACAGCCGATATTTTGTGCTGCTCATGTGCCTACCTGCCCGTCGGTTCCATTTCGTCTGTGATTAAATTTACCTTCCTGTTCTCCTTCTGCGTGTGCGCGCGCATTCCATCGATTGATCGATCGATCAATCGATCACACTTATTCCCATGCCCACCGATCGATCGCCACGCATTTGTTCTGCCTGGTAGAAGCCAGTGCACCGCTGCCCATGCAACCACCCACGCCTACCATGTCTAGTCAAGAAGGTGCGTCCCACTGGGCGAAACCAAGGCTGCTCAGCCTGATTGGCCAGCATAAATGTATCATGTGGTTCAATGAGAAAGGACTCATCGCATGAATTTTTCTCTATTCGTGCATGTTCTGCCTGCTCTGCATATACACACAGGTTGTCCCCGTGTTTGATAATGGTACGCATGTAATAATTTGTGCCCATATACGAGTGGCACTATCTGTGCGGTCAGTTGAATGACAAACTGCGGTTTTTGCTTTTCCAAGTCCTGTTGCTTTTCACTGACCGCTAATGGCAAATGACAAAGCGTAACAATACTAGCATGCTCTATTGGCGCATCACAAGCACAATAACTTCACAACGTCACACACAACATGTTCTCCTTTGAGTAGCTGGACTCATGGAGGAGAAGAAAACATTCTTCTAATGCACCAGCTAGCATTAAATTAATTCGAGTGCTTCAATTCATCCGGTGGCACTCGAGCAAAACACGTTCTGATATTAAAAATCGGTCAAATTTTCTTTCTTATCTTTCCCAGAATGATCTACAGACGTCCAAGTAATAAAAGTACATCTTAGGGATGTTAGTATTTAATGTACCTGGCAGAGTGGCAAACGAATGTTTACCAAAGAAGCCTTCAAACTTTGTAAAAGTGTAGTAGTTACTTAAAAACAGCGTCAGCAAGCGAATAATTTTTGGAGAATCGCCCTTTATTGGTTTTTAGTTCAGTATCCTTCTGATGGTTCATATATAAAGTGTGGATAGAATTTCTCTGCCATATGGTACATATTTCGCAATTTTCGGAGAAATTTGCAATTATCTGGAAATACGCAAAGGTTTACGCAGTACACTGCAAAGCTACTTTTAAAAGCTTACCGGCGATCAGGCAGACAATCAACCAAGAGGAAATATTACATCATTTTCAAAACCATTCTAAGGCATCGTAACTCACTGACGAACCCAACGACAATCGGTCAATACTTGCGCTAGATTCATCGTAAGGGTGTTCACATTGGAACTGGAAAACGAGCTGTTCCTAGTATTGTGTTAGATTTACATTTCACCTACCCGGGTCATGATTCAGGTGGTTATTTTACTAGCGGCTATTTAAAAGCATTATTTATCAGGTCAAATGTAGCGCAACAGATCCATGAGGTAGACTATAGTTTGAGGACAGTTACACATGGTTGAATTAAAAGGTATTAATTAGAAAATCATTCAGCAATCAATGCGGAAGTCTCCTGTCCCCTCTCTCCTAACTTCGTTCACCGCCTGATGTTGCTTTTGTTATGCAACGGAATATCGATTGGATGAGTCCCATATGACCGAGATCCCCTGAGACGTTTCGTTCCTATCCTGCACGACACTGACCCAGTTGGTTCCATGAACTGATTCACCGTCGCTGTGATCGACAAGGCTTTCAATTCTTGGCCGCGATAAATTGTGCTTCCGTTCATTTGGCATGCTCACAGTTCTGTTAGTCATCCTGAGAATCAATCATCAGTCTATCTGTTCGACCATCCGCCCCTTCACCGTTCTGTTACCTCAGTGTTAGAGTCTATGCGACTGTCGTCCGGTTCTATACAGTTAAGCATCTGTCCTTATTTCAGAACCGATCCAAGCGATGCAAGCACCGCGAAAAATGGCCGCTCCAAGAAGACCAGGTTAGCGTTTGTATTCTTCTACCAAAACGATCCTCTAATCTTCAAGGGCGTCGGTCTGATCAGTTCGCAAATGGTTATTTTTAGTCATTCAAAAATGGCCATGCATGTGGTTCACGGTGCATGCGAGCAACAACCTCGACCGATTCTTTGAATCGTTTGTATTGCCATTCGCAAATGGATCCCTTTGATACGACTTTACGTGCGTATGGGAGCAATTTTATCACATTGCAGTGAGATACTTTGATCTACATAGTATGCACTTTCTGAATACCCAAGTTTAGATTTTAATAGTGTATTTATTTTAGTTACCTAGAATGAACCTATCAGTGATATTCCTACTTCCGTCGACAAGAACTGTACATGAAGCAATCAGTAATTAATTGTATACCAAAATAAAAATGAATGTGCTCATGCATTACCATGCCGTGTGATAATTGAATCGGAAGGATAGGATAATTTGAAGATGTTAATATTGATAATGATAGTTGTTGGTTCTGCGCTCCCTTTTAGTCATGATTACGGTCCATGGGAAACGCTTAGAACGCACCAATTTGCTGCACGCATTCACCATGATTTCACATCACTCGCGTAGAGGTGATATATTCAAATGATTTCCATTTTTCTCGATGGGTTTAGCATGCGATCCAAAACAAGCATACGCGACAGGAAGAGGAATTCAACCACAAGGTGTTCGCGTCAAAGATGTAGCCGATTTCAAGGTTCACACCGAAGACGCTGGCGAAGGTCCTTTGGAAGTGGCTGTTATAGCCCCGGGTAAGTTGACACAAAGCAACAGCTGAGAAGTATGTGTTCGACGGATTTTGCATATCAGTGAATCGAATAATAATAATGATAATGATGATAATAATAATAATAATAATAATAATAATAATGGCAGCGAACTTAATCCAGATTGATTCTTCTTGAATTTTGCAGTGATACTGACTACACAGTTACTCCTCATTCAATCATTTTGAAGGTGAATTGAGGTCACTAATACTCGGGATTAGTTGACTGTTAGGCTTTTGGCTGTTAATTCGTAGTGTTCGATAATGTCCACGGATCAATCGTGCTCACAAAGAGCATATTTTAAGTGCTCTGGGATAAAAGTTCATAGAAACACTAATGAACGTTCAAAGTGAAGGAACATTTATGTCTGTTAGTAGGCACGATACAGGTATAGAAAATAGTTTATTGGTTGGGACTTCGGTTACAGTGAGAAAGATACTTAGCAAGCAAAGCGCATTGTTTATGTCACCAGAATAAGCAACACGTCTTTCCCATTCACTAAAGCGCTTTCCGACACTACTTATCAATTATAATGAATGCACCGTGAAGAAATCCAATGGTTCTTCGGATGAAATATCTTAGTAGCAATCTGTTCACTGTATAAAAATTGATGTTTTACTTGATGTCGGTGGAGTCGTATTTTTGCATCTTACCCACAAGCATTCACCACGCACTTTTAGGATCCAGGATCTTAAACCCGCAAATATGTTCCACACTTAGTCGTAATGTGACAAACCGTCCAAAAATGGGGAGGAAAAGTAAACTGACTCGAATCGGTCGCCTTCAGGTTTCAAGGACAATGTTGCAGCCCACGGTTGGGCAAACCATTTTGCCTCGGTCATCATACAATGTATCCGGTACGATGTTGACATTGCCCACAAAAGAATGCGATCGATTAGGCCGTACATGTTCTGCCATCTATGATCCGGTTTTCACTGTGTTTTGAGGCGTGGGCAGCGGTCAGTCCGGTGGTGGGTATTTTAACCGTAGGTCCAGGATGCTGCGTTTGTGAAAGGGGGCATTAAGCAATGGGTTGAGGAGGACCAAGGGGGCCGGTGGGGGGGGATGCCAGTGATCGACATCCTCTGGACGCCTACGCCGTTCCGTGTTCAGATGTGCACTTTGGATGGATGGACAAACTGTATGCTGTGCGTGAATCCAACGCAGTTCGCTTATCCCACCTTTAGAACTGTGCACATAACATTGGTTACCGGACCGGCATTATCCCATCGGCCATAGATGCACATATGGTTGTGATGACGTAGCCATATTTGTTTTATCTAAGCGGTTTTCGTATGTGATCACGACAGAACCGCAAATAACTTAGTTCTTTATTTAAATATGTACATATGAGTTTATTTTGATCATATTTATAAAGAGTATACCTAAGACATTGCTACCATTTCTTGAATGAGCTGCAACAGACCCTGGTTTACGTGAATGCAAGCATAACATAGCTGTGAACTGGGCTGATTTGGAAAATAGAAGATTACATCAGTAAAACAGAATCGAAACAAAATAAAGTGGTTCACATTAATCACATTGGTTTAAGAAAGAACGACTCAGTTTGACCTCAAACATTAGTTTGACTTTCACTGTTATAGCCCCAGTAATTGTAATCCAGCTAAACCCGAAAATAAAGCGGTCAATGGTCAGCAGTAGCTTGTTTCATTTATTTTCAGCATGACGATTGGTACTGGCATTCTGCAATATTTTATTATCAGCTTCAGCAAACCCCTTGTGATGGAGGTTCTTATTGAACCACCAGAAATAGGACATGCAAAAAAAGATTCAAGGTCTTATTTATTAAAAACACGGGGCGGTTTTAACTTCATTCAGATTCAGGTCAGTTACATCATTTGAAGCAACGGTTCGGCCGAATACTGTTGTGGTAACAAATTGCCACAATGTTACGACACAATTCACGCAAGTTATAAACTGACATTACTTGCACATTTGGGGTTAACTGTGTTCATGTTACTCTCGATATAGATTCGGGCAACTTGCTCGCGAGATACTATGGGATAAGTACTTTATTTGTTCCACGCTTCCGAATTTCTACACACGTATGTTCGGCAATGGAAAAGAGATATTAACGAAGTAAGGTATGAGCAAATGCAAAATACTCCACTTGTTATCCCTAATAAATGTCTCGAATGTGTTGTGGCTCTTAGCCATCGCTCGCCCGCCTCTGTCTGAAAATGTATAGCCAATTGGGAGATAGTCACGTGGAATAGTGTTCCTTGGACGCTGAAATAAGATTATTGCATCAATTTTGCATTCACCAGTCAGTGCTTCCCAAACCGTTTCTGATCAACAAAATTTGTACCGGATGTGTTGATGCCTACTTTAAGTTTGCAAAACAAACCTACGCCCGAAGGCTCTCCTTTCTCACAAGAAAACCTATTTGCCAATAAATTTCATTCCTCCACCTACTCCAACTACGCAATTATTTCGTTTCTTCTATCCTTAAACTGAATTCTCTTAATACCTTGTCTTGTTCGGGATGATAAAATCAAAATTCTTTTTAAACCACAATTCAGTCAATAGTTAATTTACGTTTTTGCACTTTCATTCATCTCTTTTGTCAGTAGTTCAATGGTGAGTTCTATTTGACTGACACCCCATGCCTAAAGTGCTGAAACACAGATACATGTGAGGAAATATTGTCACTGGTTAGGGAACTGTATTCAATGGGAAGATCCTGTTGCGTTTCATTACCCGCTAGCGTTCAACTTAGTCATACGAATCAATGCAAAACTTGACGAACAATCAATCACTAGTTTCACTTTTTCATGACATTGTTTAAAGGGTAAATACGATACGAGTCTGCTCTTCAACTGGTGGTGCGCTGTTCATGCTCATTTTATAACGTTCCCCCAACCGATTCTCTTCAATTGTCTCGTCCAACAGATGGTCGTGAGATCCCATGCACTGTCCGCAAAACGGGCGCATATTTGTTTGATTGCAACTATACTCCTCAACGAGCGGGACTTCATCAAGTTCACGTGCGGTACGGTGGAGACCACATCATGCTCAGTCCGTTCAACGTGAGTCAAAGTTCCACTTGGATACTTAGTCGATAACGAAAAGGTTTCTGTAAAATTAATTTCTCCATTGGAGACCGAGTTATAATAGCAAAATAACCAAACTACTCCTCCCCTGTACTGTCTCACCTAAATCATCAGGTCGATGTTGGACCGTACAAGGATTCACGTATTCGTGCATTCGGTCCAGGTTTGTCCGGAGGTGTCGTGAATAAACCGGCTGTCTTCGTCGTCGAAACAAACGGTGAAACTGGAGCCTTAGGTACGTATTGATCATCTTAACTGCACGAGGCCTCTTATCCACCAACAGTTGTCTGACCAACCTCGCAACTTGCATATATCTGACAGATATTATTCTTTCGTTTATTGTAATGCAGCACACTACCGGTAATGTGCAATTTTCATTAATGTGTGATTAGCTATTTTCCCGCTGCCAATTCTTGGTCAACTTCTACATTTTCAGCTCACACTGTTGTGAATATCACAAGCCAATGGAATCGGAATTTCCTAACAGTCAGAAGTACTTAGATTTCGCTGTCATGTACATCCCAAATTAGGTCATAAACTCACGTTTCCTTTTGACCTAAATTGTTTCGGTGGTAGGCTTTATTTTGATCTGCCGAAGACACTGTTAGGCACCGATGCTACCTTTCTCTTGCAATCCTTGCATAGAAATTTACGATCTCGACTCCATCTCTCTCTGTTGTAAAGTTGGCACAAACAGCGCAGAATGAGTGCCTTGACGACCAAATAAAAATTGTGCGCCCTTTCACTGCTAAGATGGATGGGTTCGCAGTCTAACCGAGTGGGAAAACTGGACCTATGAACATGGATTGTCAGACGCATGTTTATCTCGCTTTGCCATACCCACACCATCTTCGGGCAAATACACCCTATTGGTTCATATCGAACTAGGCACATGTGAATGTCACCCCATCACCCCCATTCCACCCCCAACCATTCGTCTTTTATGACGAAGGGCACCATCTTTCAGGGCATCAGGACAATCGATTGATAGTAAGTGATAAATCAACAACGGGATTTTTACACGAATACCCATCGAAAATGTTCATGCGGAGAACGGAAAATGAGAAACAACCGTCCGTGTAACACATCTCCCCCGCTCTTACAGATGGGGAAACATCGGTTGACATTTTACTGCGAGAGTTTTACTCTCTATTTCAATACACGAAGTACACTCGAAACTAGCGAGCTACTACATGGTGACCTTTATATCCGCTACTTCACTTAATCGAACAACAAAAACATCCACAGAATATTCCACGGTCTTGACTTCAAATGGTATGACAGATCGCATGAACCATAGCACTATCTTTTTGAACACTAAGCAATTCCATCTGATCAGTTGGCCGATATCACAACGTTTACAAAATTAAAGATAATGGTCACTTCAATTGTTTCTACGCCTAATTTGTTGGCTTCATCTCATCAGTACGTAGTGATGATTTTAGACCCTCAGATCAGCGAAATAAAAAGTAACTCAAAACCCACTTGTGGAAGAAAATTTAACATTTACATGATAAGGTATTCATATTGGGCCTCCTTCCTTTCCTTAAATGAAATAAGCGAGAGGCTTTTAGATTGTCACATAACTTTTGTTTTTAAGGTTGCTGGAAGCATTCTTGTAGACCAGAACCATTCTTTATTTACACAATTGTTATACTACCGTTCTCATCCCTGTACAATTTCGGCATCCCAGAGAATACCATTTTGAAGCATTTAGTTCCCTTTATCCATTTAATCAAAATAATACCATTTTGAATGTTTACCGAATTTCTCCTGTACTCTATCCTTCTCATACACTGATTAACAAAAGATAGCAGGCAAACTCCGGGTAAAATCTCAGTGATAAGTGAACAAAAATAGTTTTTTCAACACTTCGGTTGACTTTCGAAGTCCTTAACTGACGCATTCGCTGCCGTGAGTGCACAACTCATACAAAACCATACATTCCTAACCCCACATTTTGGCCACTAAATTGGTTATCCACTAGTACTTCATATTCTTTGGTTGAAGCAAAACTCGGGAAACCTTTTATGCACCTTTTCATTTTAGGGATTGTACTCAGCGGGATTCAAAAAAGATTCGTAAATTACAAAGCAATTTCCCACCTTGCTAGTAACCAGATGATGTTGAACCGGCAGCGGTCGCAATCTCATAATTGGTGGCTTGATCTCTGATGCGTGGTTTCTGTTGTAGGTTTTTCAATCGAAGGCCCAAGCGAGGCTCGCATCGATTGTACTGACAATGGGGATGGTTCCGCCACGGTGGCTTACTGGCCTACAGCTCCCGGCGAATATGCTGTGCACATCTTGTGTAATGATGAAAATATCCCCAAATCCCCTTACATGGTTCCGATCGAGCCAGATGTGGGCAGATGTGATCCCGAACGCGTAAGTCGGTTGATTGTTCGTCGTTTTTGTGTTTACCTTCGAAACATCCGCAAATTTCGAGCTATTACACAAACATACACTTGTTTTCGCCCTGATCAGGTCAAGGTTCACGGTCCGGGAGTTCAGCCGACTGGAAATGTAGCTGGTCAGCCGACTGAATTCACAGTTGACATTCGTGATGCTGGTGGACCA